CTGGGATGCGTGCATTTCATGTGTCATACACTACCGTACTAGTATGAGTGCGTGCCTCTTCAGCTGCTAGCCGCTTTAGGGGCCGCCCCAGGCCCGTGGGAGCTTGTGGGCACGAGACATGCTGATCCGGAGTCCTCCGAATAACTGTGCGATGATCACTACCCTAGGAATCAAGGGACGTCAAAATATCAACTTCGTATTTGACGAAGAAGTCGATAACCCTGGTGAAATCGACTGGCCGCCCTCCCCTATGTTGTGATTCTCGTTGGTATCACGACAGCAACCCACTGTTGCTGGCGAACATGCAGTCCGGCTTCCACCTTGCTATCTAAACACTCTACGCCGCCAAGAATACTACTAATGTAGAACGATATCGTCGCCTGACCGTCGCTATTATGGCCCTCCCCTCAACTTGTCTGCTTCACTCCTTCCTTATTTTGACTGGTATTTTGGAGCCTACAAGTTCTCACCCATGTGGAATATCCCTCTCTCGATGCTTCGGGAAACCCAACAACTCTTGGCCGTGTGATGAGTAGCTTGGCAGCTATTGTGCAACACCATCTCCAGCCGTCGCCATTGAAGTCATCATGGGCACTGGGGTCTATATAAAGATGGTATGCGGACGATATCCATGAGTCCTTAGCCTTGCCATCATCACACCTCGTAGACTACAGACCAGTTCATCCAGCCTACTTTCCAAGATGCCTAGCTTCCGCAGTTTGGCTCTCTTCTTCGGAGCTCTGCTCCCTGCTGCCCTCGCTGCCCCCGCCAGCAAGAAGCCTAGCGAGCCCGAGTATGTTCCAAACAAGTACATCGTCACTCTCAAGAGCGGTATCAGCACCGCCGACTTCGAGAGCCACGTTAGCTGGGCCCGCGATGTCCACGCTCGCAGCTTAAGCCGCCGCGACTTTGCCGGTGTTGAGAAAACCTACAGCATCAAGGACTTCAATGCCTACGCCGTCGAAATGGACGATGCCACCCTTGCGGAGATCAAGGCCAACCCCCAGGTATGCTGTGCAAATCCAACATCAACCAAAAATTGCTAACTCTTTCACAAGGTTGCCGAAATTGAGCAGGACCAGGTCTGGCACCTCTTCGATGAGATCCACGAGCTCTCTGAGCGAGCCCTGGTTACCCAGACCGGCGCGACCTGGGGTTTGGGAACGATCTCCCACAAGACCAGCGGCTCCACTAGCTACATCTACGACAGCTCGGCTGGTGCCGGTACTTACGCCTACATCGTCGACACCGGTCTCCTGACCACCCACACCCAGTTCGGCTCCCGAGCTTCATACGGCTACAACGCCATCGGAGGCCAAAACATCGACTCCAACGGACACGGCACCCACGTCGCTGGTACCCTCGGTGGCTCTACCTACGGTGTTGCCAAGGCCGCCACCCTCATCTCTGTCAAGGTTTTCTCCGGATCGTCTTCTACCACCACCATCATTCTTGATGGTTACAACTGGGCTGTCAACGACATCATCAGCAAGGGCCGCCAGTCCAAGGCTGTTCTCAGCTTGTCGCTTGGTAAGAACCTCCTCCTGCCCTTCTCTTGGCTCAAAACCTAATATTCTTCAGGTGGTGGCTACTCTGCTGCCTTCAACAACGCCGTCAACAGCGCCTACAGCTCCGGCGTTCTCTCCGTCATTGCCGCCGGTAACGACGCTGCCAACGCTGCCAACTACTCCCCTGCCTCTGCCGCCAACGCCCTCACTGTTGCTGCCATTGACTCTAGCTGGTCATTCGCCTACTTCTCCAACTACGGCTCTGTTGTCGACGTTGCTGCTCCTGGTGTCAGCGTTCTATCTTCTTGGATCGGCAGCAACACCGCTACCAACACCATCTCGGGTACCTCGATGTCCACTCCTCACGTCGCCGGTCTGGCTCTTTACCTGATCGCTCTTGAGGGTCTCTCGACCCCTGCTGCTGTCACCGCCCGCATAAAGGCGTTGGCTACTTCTGGAAAGATCTCCAGCGTCCCCAGCGGCACCGTCAACCTTGTCGCCTACAACGGCAACGGCGCTTAAATCACGAAATCCAGAGTGCCTTGATGTGCTAAGCTTTACTGGAATAGCGTCATTCGGGCAATAGTGTTTTGAGGCTATGAACACCTAACGAGACTATGAAGATGACAAGCCTAACTTTTGAGTGAAGCCACGCGCACGGCTTGGGGCAAGATTATCTAGTCTAGAAGAATATTTAGCTAGTATCATATATTCTATTCTCTACGTTATCTACGGTTCACCTTCGCATTAAACCTTATGAATTTAGTAGCATCGAGGCAAACTAAACTCCCTGTAGCCAAGAATCTGCAAGATCGTCGGGCCGCCACTAAAGCTTAATCATCCTTAGCCAAGAAGAGAAGACACTTCACCCGCAGCACCATGCCAACATCATTTCGTTTTCAAAGGCAACCATGATATCGTACAATGACTACAAGAGGCTCTCGGAGCTCCATATACCTTTTTGATTTTAATACATATCAACACTATTAGAGGAGTGCATGATCGTTTAATTCATTACTGTCAACAAGAGTGTGTAGTCCATTTACTCAATATCCTTTTGGTCAGTGTATATATGATATCAACTATAAGCTCCGAGAAGATTTTCCATTCATATGGGTACTTAATCACAGAGTATACGCAATCGCTCTTTTGTATTTACCGATTTCACTTGTGATCAATCGTCCGTCTTATTGTAATTATGGGCTGACGTAGGAATAAGGCCAAGGCGTGAAGGTATATATGCACAATCCTGGCAAAGCCACGTCTTATTGGTCCCGGCAAGTCAGTTGCTCATAATGATAGATACTTATATCTGGGGTGCATGAAGAATGACCTCTCAGGGCGAAGGGATATGTTATTACGAGATTTAGCCTCAGGAGGGACCCTCATTCTGTATACGTGAAGCTCACACTAGTATGAAACGGGCTGTGGCACCGCCCGGATAAACACAGGTTCCAGGTTCGGAGCCAACAAGCCTTCGCTCGAACGAAGAGTCACCTGGCAAATTCACAGGAACAAAGTTTATTCCTGCCGTGACGCCTTGCCGACTACCACTGCCATGTCTACTATAGTCTGCCGATATACCTGTTCGATGTCTATTCTTGGCAGCTAGATGAGGAAAGGATGTAATAACATTGGACCTGGGCAACTGTCATGTCGAGCTCGTCATAAGGCCAAATCTTGGTTTAAAGGAGCTCAAGGCCCCGGTGAGAGATGGAGACGAAAACCTAAATTCCGGAACTAGATATCTCAGTGTTTTCGTGCCTGCTAAAAGCGAAGTGTTGAGAATGATATTTATATCGCCCTTCGTAGTCGGCGTGGCTATGGTGCTGTCGCTGGTCTCTATGACCACGGCGCACCCGGGGGAAAGCCCCAGCGCGCGCCAGATTAGCGATGAGATGGATAACGCCCACATGGTCAACATGATGAACTCGAGGGCTTTGGAGGCATGCCAGAACGACCCAGAGGTAAAGGCGCGCAAGGAGCGGGCCATCGCTCGTCGAGCGGCCACTTTCGCACGGCTGCGCCAAGAAAGAGATCTTGATGACGGTAAGCCAATAGGTCCAACTTGACAAGGATAAGACGAAGTGAAAGGCTCATATGTACTTAGCGGCCTGGCTTCATCGAAGAGACGCTGCCTCGTTTCGAAAATGGGCAGCATTAAGCCACAATAAAACGGGCTCGGTCGACTTGAACAAGGAATCAACCAATGCAGAGATCTTCGGATCCAACACTAGCTGTGTGTTGGCTCCGGACAATTCGAACGGGCCGTACTTCGTTTACCAAGAGCATATCCGGTCAGACATCGTGGAGCAAACAGTCGGCGTGCCTATGCATCTTGAGCTTCAGTTTATCGATGTGACGACCTGCAAGCCGGCTACGCAGCTGTTGATTGACGTTTGGTCTTGTAATGCGACAGGCCAATACAGCGGCGTGGGCGCGGCGGGCCAAGGCGGCCTCAGTACGACGTGGCTGCGAGGAGTACAGCCCACTGATGAGGACGGCGTCGTGTCCTTCGACAGCATTTTCCCGGGACACTACCAAGGGCGCGCAACTCATCAACACATCATTGCGCACGCCGGCTCCACGACGCTGCCAAATGGGACCTACACCGGTGGCCGGGTCGCTCATCTTTCTCAGCTGTTCTTCGACCAGGCCTTGCGTGATGCCGTCGAGTCTACGCCACCGTATAACACGAACCGCATCCCAAAGATGTCTAACTTGCAGGATCAGTTTAACGGCTATGCTGCTAGCGCTAATTACGACCCCTTCCCGAACTACATTTTCCTCGGCAATGGTCTCGCCAACGGTCTCTTCGTTTGGGCCGAGCTTGGTCTCAACACTTCATCTAACTGGGACTACTACGCCCAGTATGCATCGACTTGGAAAGAAGGGGGTGGATATAATAACCCCAACTTCGACTTCTTCGCTGTTGTAAATGCCCCGCCTACTCATGGTTAAAAGATCTGGACACGGCAGTTATCAGGAGATGTATTTGCTTCACAATATGTGACGGCGATATGCCTAGATCGTGAGTTTGTAAAGATAGGGTTCTACGGCTCGAAACATTATGTTGAGTGGTGGCAAACACGCTTAGTTGGGAATGAAGCTGTAGTTAAAGGAGCCTAACATCGTATGCTCGGGGAGGGTTATTATATATATCACCTTATGCAACTTACTTATATGTTTACTTGAGTGACACGACGAGAAGTACCTAGTAGCTCATGCCTTAATGTCAGACGCCTGGCGTTCCTGCATGTACAGTAATCGCCTGTATTTCAGTGTAGCACAAGGCGACACGCGGTCCGTCTTCTAGCATACAATAACAGCTCTTAAGGGAAAGGAGGAAAAGGCAGATAATAAATGCCCTCTGCCACTACTCAGCCCTGAGAGAGGCACGCCTTTCAGAGAATTCAGAAGGAAGAGAGAGGAAAAGTGATAAGTCACTCGAGAGTGAATCATCCCCATACATTCAGTAACATGCAGTGCAACGGCTAGGTGGCGGAGTGGTTAACGCGGTAGACTCGAATAAATCGTGTGATCTACTTCCTTCGGGAGCGTCTGTTCGAATCAGGCCCTAGTCGACTGGTTTCATTTTTGTTTTCGTCGGTATTTTTTTCTTGGCACATTAATGCTATTTAACGAGGTGCTAATGGTGTCGGTTAGATAACTAAATACGTTAGGCTACCTCTCAGCTTAGATCTAATAATAACACACAGTGTCACACACCTTGGACTAACATTAACCTTTTCAACTACTACTATTTTACAAGGCTTTGTATTTAGTTTTTGAAATTTAGGAAGACCTCATGACTTTCCCTTAATCTTATTCTATTTTTTTTCTCTCTCCAATGATGGCAATTGTACCGGCTAAATAGTGCGGATAATCATACAAAATTCTAGTAACTCATAAAAACAATCTTGATACGGCGTGTAGACAACTGAAGCTTTGGGCTATTCGTAATCCCCTCCTCGAAAGCCCGGCTCCCTACAATGCATTGATAGTAACTTCTGTTGGCGAGATGAAAGTCGAGGCCGACTACGTTAGGAAAGGGGATTATAACACAATAATAATTCCGGAAGTTTATTGGTAAGACAGCTTAAAGCCTTTGTTTCAATACATCTCCAAGGCGCCTCAATAGGGTGTGGTCGTAAGCTAGAGGCTCATAGTATGGTCTGTATGGGATTGACGTCAATGTGAGTTAGGCCGGTACTGTCTTGGCCAGATGTTCATCGCCGTCTTCAAACCACCAGTGACTGGTAAACCAGCATGCACAGTTCGTGTGTCACCCGTACCATTAGGGAAAAGATTGACCCAGAAGATGCCATTCCCTGCAACTGGTTTGAAAGCGAGCCCACCGTCTTCATGCTGGCGCCATAGCCGGCCATCTTCACTTTCTTTCGGCTGGGGCGACACAGCTCTGATGAAGGGAAACCAGGTCTCACCCCCCTCACAATTATCTTGCAATATGACAAAGAAACTCGCGACCCGGTTAAACGATCGTGGGGACCCGTCGAATGCCGCTTGTGGTATCCGCATCCAGTCATGATGAAGATTGTACTTTTGCCCTTCGGTATATCGTACAAGCTGCGGTACGCCCATCTCGTCCTCATTCGGGTCAAGGACGGTCCCGAGGAATCTCCTCGACCGTTCAAGGACGCACTGTACTGCCGGATCTTCAGCCGGCAAGGCAGCGCTCCACGAGGTACGGTACGGGTTTTGGATCATCTTCCCATTTTGATTCACCACCTCAGGGTTGAAGCGGTCCTCGCCTGCTTTTACAATGCTGTTGATCTCTTGTGTGTTGAAGAAGTCGCGGACATAGATGACAAGAGGGTCAAGTGAAATGAGCTCAGTTTTATAGCTCTGACCTTCGCACTGGAGTTCACTAGATGACGAGTTTGATTGTGGTAATGGCGAGAGGGAATGAAATAAGTCTACCGGGGACTTTGAAGCCCGGCGCAGTAGCCATGCAGCTACAAAGGAGCAAATAAAGGTAACAGTCATTGATATAGTGATCTGGCTCTTAGTGACTGCCATCTTGGCAGCGGGCTTTTTAGCCATTCTCGAGGATACATAAAAACACGTACTATAGAAGGCATGCCACGTTGTAAAAGCAAGTTTGGAATCGAAACTGATCAGTGAGTGAGGATCTGGAATCGAAACTTCTGAGGCTTTGGATGCATCAGGATATCGGTGCATTCCATTCCGAGAGAAGCTTGGAGGGAAAGAGACCGGGATGCTCCTGGGTAATTTATCCGGTCATACCTGTATACTTACCTACGGCGCACCCGTCACCTCCATGATGATCACATTTCGCACCCCCCCCCCCCCATCGTCTTGATGCGCAGGAAGACGAATAATAGTGAAGTCAGTGTCGCGATCCTACAATGCCAACCAAAGTTGTTGGTATATAAAGAAAATTCAAAAGCTCTTCGGCGCATCCAAATGTAACATGAAATTTATTGGATTTAATCTCGAGGCGGCTCCAATGCGACTCATGAAAGGGCAACCTATCCTTCTGCAAAGAAAAGAGGAAGACGTAACAAGTCGGCACCAAGTGAATAGAGGGCCCCCCCTATCGACATAGTAGATACAGTGGGATGTGTGTGGCTGACTCAGGGCTCTGTGCTAAGCCCCAGGTTACCTAATCCATAGTAGGTACCTGCACGCAGTACCTTCAGCACCAGCCTATTGTCACAAGCTTTCCTTATCGCTTGTCTTGTCTTTATCGCGAGAACCAAATTTCTACCAAACAAGCATCCCACTAGTCCAAGCTTATCGTCTACAACAACCTCCAGGCGACAGCACACCATGTCTTCCCTTCGAAACGCCGTGAACCGGCGCGTACACCGTGAACGAGATCAATTACAAGACCGTAAGAACCGCTACGGTCTTCTCGAGAAGCACAAGGTGTGCATCCTTGCTTGATATACTAGCCCTCCACAGCACACGACAACAGCACTAACGACAGGAAACAGGACTACCGGCTTCGAGCGCAAGACCACAACCGCAAGAAGACACAGTTAAAGGCCCTTAAAAAGAAAGCAGAAGACCGTAATGAAGATGTAAGTAAAAATCCTTAAATCCTAATCACGTCCTCCCAACTTCGGCTTTCACCTTGAAATAACCTAATGCGTTTTTGCTTTGGCAAACAGGAATTCTACTTCGGCATGCTCTCGCGCAAGGGCCCCGCGACAGCCCTCTCAAGCGGCAGCAAGAAATGGGACGGCACCGTAGCCGGCGACCGCGGCAACAAGTCGCTCGACATGAACGTAGTGCGGCTCCTCAAGACACAGGACATGGGTTACATACGGTCGGTACGAAATGTGGCGATGAAAGAAGTCCGCAAACTCGAAGAACGCGCCATCGCGCTCGGCGGCGACATCGACAATTTGCTCAACAACAACGAAGAATACGAAGACGATATGGATCTAGACTTTGACTTTGGGGACGAGCCAAGTGCGAAAAAGACAACACCTGCTTCGAAAAACAAGAAGATAATATTTGCGGATGGCCAGGACGAGCGTGAGGACAAGATACGGCAAGACATGGAACAGGATTCCCCGGAAGACGACAACGAGAACCTAGAGGGTGTAGACTCGGAGAAACGTACCGCGGAACAGAAGCAGAGGCTTCTGGAGAAACTACAACGTCGCCTACAGAACGCCCGGAAAAAGCAAAGCGTACTCGCGCAGGCCGAGCAGCAGCTCGAAGTACAGCGAGCTAGAATGGCCAAGACGGCGACGATGGGGGGCGTCACAAAGTCCGGGAAGAAGATTAAGGTGCGACAGAGGAAACGGTGAGATCCGTCTTGTTGACTGCACGGATATGTCGCATATCTCAACGAAGTACCGACGATTGACAAGGAGGAACGACTAATACAAAGTCACGTTCAGCATCACCGGTGTTCTTGCATTATGTCATTATGTGGTCGGGAAAATTGATATATATATTTGATAGGCAAGCAGGCGCATGGCGTTCGAGGGTTTCCGACAGCCGTTGATTTTGCAAACCCGCTATACCATGCCCAAGATGTATAGATCTTGTTTGCGTACTCGCTTGCTCAAGATAACACTTCCCAATGTGAACACAACTCCGCGCTAACTAGCTAGCCCATCAATCATGTATTCGTTGGCCGCCTTTTTTAACACCATTACGTTCCAGCTTGACTATGAGAAGTTGAAGAGCCCGCCCATATGTCGACACATGGGGGTTATATACGGGCTGCTGAATATAAAACTTGAAAAAATCTGTAAGCAAGAAGGCCTCCATCGCCCATTCTAGTGAAGTCATTCCCACTAGTACAGTGCGCAGCTCCGATCCGAAATTCAGCTCTAGACCCCGCCCTACGTTCTCGATGTGCGTCCGTTCAAAGTCATTGTATCCAGCAATGGACATCTAGTCATATGTGTGAAAATACACCCCGCATTTACAGTTTCTCTTTGGTAATGCACTTGGTCAACCCGACAATAATGGCCATGGCGGCCTTGAACGCAAGCGTGAGCGCCCAGATAACACACTTGAACGCGAACCCGAGCAATTTGATGATCGTCCGGGTGGTGCCGGGTAACCTTTCACGATCGGCTTCCTTAATATCAAGTTTGGCGCCGAGGCTGCTGGCTTGGCTTTCCAGATCAAGCTCGAAGACCTCAAATCGGCCGCGCTTCTTCTTATTCTTGTTTTTCTTATCTTTATCCTTCGATGCGAGAATCGTACCGCCTAATTGACTACCGCTCCGTGATCCTGTGGGCGAGTCCCGCAGGTGCGCGGCGGGAGGAGGTGCGAACTGCTCCACGAGGACGTTCTTCTCGTCGAGATGGGCCACGAGGAGCAGCGCCGTAGCCGCCACGTCTAGCACGTAGTAGCTCTCGATGCGGCCAGCGACGAGCGTGTCGAGCTCCATCCACCCTTCGCCCGTGCCGTCGCGCGTCAGGCGGCCGAGGTGCTGTGGCGACTCGATGTGCTCGATCGTGTACTCCGTGCGACTCCACGCCGGGCTCCGTTCGATCGTGATGCAGAACGGCGTCGCGACCGCCGGGTGTGCGAGGAAGTAATTTGCGCTGTCCTCATCCCAGACAAGGCGCGCGCACTCGCGTTCGGCTGCCGCGACGGCCGACACGTCGTAGGGCCTGTCTATGGCCACTTTCGCAGCCGCGCTCGGGTACAGCAGCGCGACAAGGCCGTCATTTGGGGGTAACCGGCGCGATGGTTCTTCTAGTGTCGTGGCCAGCGCTTCTTGCCAGGGCTGCTTCCCTTCGGCTTCGCGAAGCGCGCTCAGCAATCCAGTGGAGGCTCGCGACGCCTCGGTCGGGTCCTTATCTTTACACGGCTTGCTAGGGTCGTGCCGGCTGAGCGTGACGTATGCGGATGCCGACGTTGGGTCGATGCGCAAGTGGTAAAGTGGCTGCTGGGTCCTCGACGTCAATGTGTAGATTGGGGTATCCTTTTCTGGAAGCAGCTTCATGCAAAACGTCCGCCCCTCAACAGTAGATGCTTTCCACCCGTTCGCCGCCTTCCAGTAGCCCCGAAGCTCCTCTGTTGTGCTCACGGGTGGGATCACAGGTGGTTCGTTCTGCCGCCT